CTTTAATTAGAGCCTCTTACAAACAAGCTGTCAAAAAGTTTACTTAATACAGTATTTGACAAATATAAAGGTAAAAACTCAGGCCATGTACATTTAAAATTGGTAGGATGAATTATTCAGACACTGGTTCATTTGTATTTTGCACAATTCTAGCAATATATATATCCCTACCAATTTCATGGCTGTGAAAAACGTATTGTGGACCTTGAAATAAGCCTTGCTCCATGAAATGTGATGTCCCCTTGTTCCTACGAGCGCCCCAGCAAAGGGGGCTTGTAGCTCTGGCTGGGAAGGGGAGGGACAGGACTTGTCCCTCTCCTGCACAGCTGCTTGGGGTGTGAGGAGGGAGGAAATGATCAGCCCCACCTCCATCTCCGGGATCATCCTATGGCTGCAGGAAGCTCTGCGGTTGCTGCCTTCAGAATCCAGCTCTGAAGGCAGCACAGAAGTGAGGATGGCAATTCCATGAGCTCCCTCAAACAGGTTTGTGACACCCTCCCCCATCCCCTTTTGGGTCGGGACCACCACGGTTACAACACAGTGAAATTTCAGATTTAAACATCTGAAAACGTGAAATTTACCAATTTTCAAATCCTATGGCTGCTAAATTGACCATAATGGACCGTGAATTTGGTAGGGCCATATATATTATATATATATTTGACAGTATTAGTGTGACCAGACGTCCCGCGTCCCGACTGATCTCTGGTCGGGACGCAATTTTTGTCCTGATATTTTGCGTGGCCGGCAGCACTTGGCTTTTTTTTTTTTGAGCCCCCTCTGTGTCCCGATATTTTCTTCATCTCATCTAGTCACCCTAGATAGTATGTGGCAAAGTAGTTCGACAGCAACAATATACATTTGTATATTAACATTACCTGTGCAAAAAGCTTTCTTTGGCCAATTCAATTTGTAGTGTTCCACCTTTCCACCTTGTTTTATTTAAAATGGACATACCTAGGAAACAAGCATTAGACAGAAAATGACTATTACCCACACATAAAATATTTAAGAAATGTTTTTAATCATGTCTCTTTTTGCTATATTTTGGAGCATTATGAGACTGATCCTGCACTCTATTAGACTACTCGGTTGATTATGGGTAGCAAATTTAGGGTCTAATATGGAAAGCAAAAGATATTTTCAACATCCAAACCCTATTTTGACTAAGAGTAAGTTAGCCAGTAATAAACGAACACTGAAAGATTAAATTGCTCATTCCAAATAAGGATTCAAAAATTCAGATACATCTACTTTCTTAGGTTCCCTTTACACTCTATCCAGGCCTCTCACACTATCTTCAAGTAGGATTTATTTTTCTTTCCCTCCTTCCCAACAGATCCTACAAGCACTGGCAGACACATTGGCAATACTGAGAGATGGAGATTGGGAGGGAAGTCCTTATTCCATATAAAGAGATTAAGGGAAGCACAAAGTTTTAGGCTGATTCTTAATTATGTTTAAATAAGATGGCCTACCCTTAAAAAGAAAGTTTCCCTTGTCCTTTTTCAAAGGTACATTATCAACCCCCGTCTTCGGGTGCAGATAACTGTGCTGAAATAATCTCAACTGGTTGACTGCAGATTACACAGGAGTTGAAGTTCTGTAATGTTCATCTGCCTACCAGAAGAGACTGGGAATCTGTATTTCCGTTCTAAAAGAATTAAACTGACCTCCTTAAGGAAAATAAATTTTGCTTAACCCATCATTCTTTATTCCCTTTAGTCTCAGTCAATTCTAATGTCATATACAAGTATCAATGTATCAAAGAGAAGAAAATATGTTTAAGCTCATTTTCTAAACCTTCTCACTAAGGGGCTAACATATGCACTTCGCTCTCTCTCCCTCCCCGCACCCACTAGGCTATTCTGATAAGACCATTGCCTCCACCTCGTAACAAAAAAACACAGATACTTCAATAAAATACATGATTTTGAAGAGCATCTTCCATAAACATTGATTCCTAAAATAACTGAGCTAAATAGAATTGAAGAATGAAATAGCAAATGACAGAGGGAAATTAAGAGGTATAGATGAAGACAAAAAAGCTATGGCTTCAATGGCGGTCTGAGCAGGTAAGTGCAGGTTCAGGTATTTGTTACATCCTTAGTTTACAGGGATTAAAATAAACTGCAACAAATATAATTTGTGTACTTACATCTTTTAAGATCTGCTTCAGAAATGCCAATGTTGATATAAGCAAAAGTTTTCATAGGGTTCCCTGGTCAATAATCAGAAACATTTGGTTACTTTTGTACATAAAACTGTAACTTTTTGTTTTTAAAATTGAAGCATGTGTTCTCTACAGATGCTTAAGGAAAAGTAGTAGTTTTGAAATGGAAGTTGTTTTTCATTACTAGTTGAAGTAAAGAACAGTTGCACTTCTAATGAACGAAATGAAAATATTACCCTGGTCATCTTTCCTGATAACAATTTCCGTATCTGTAACATTTCCAAACTTGCTGAATCTTTCCTGCAGTTCAGCCTCAGAAACTGTATGGCCAAGTCCTCCAACATACAAACGTTTTAAAACTTGTTTTTTCTCCATATTAAAAAAAGTCACACTGTCTCATTTAGGATGTATGTTTTGTCCTTCTGTAAAAAGGCAACAAACAAAATCAGTATTAATGGTTTTTGTGGTTCTGGGGCGAGCTGCACCTGTGATCTCTTTCTCAGTCACTCGGTGGGCACTTCCAAGTGATGGCCATAAACCTGCACTTCTCTCAGAGTGGAATCCCACAATTCAGCCCACTTTTTCACATGACTACCAGCCCTTGTTTCACCAACCATATTAACTCAACAACTCCAACAGGACTTGGTCCCTGCTATGAAATCTTCTGTTGTGACCCATGGTAAATGCAGCTTATTCAAAACAGAATATGATTTATTTAACAATCGGAATATGTCAAGTAGAGAGAATGAGGTTAAAATAATGAAAGTCCACTAAAAGGGCTTCTGATGATCCCAATGGTAAATTGATCTAGGAGCATTTGCTGGATCATTAGGTTTAACACTGGGATACTCAGTATAAGTGACCAAGAAAACCCACAATTGATAATACTATAAATTCTTCTGACGTATCAGTTCCTAAACAGACTGTATTTGTAAGAGTTGTTTTTGACCAACATCCCATAATTAATCAGGTGCTCAATTTGCCCCACTTGTTCATTTTAAACATTTTATAGAACATTTAATAAGTTTAAAGACATAGTATCAGAAAGCACTGCTCTTTGTTTCTTTTGTGGGAAAAAGCAAATATTTTTATAACACAAAGGAAAATAGCTTAAGTATCTTACACTATTGTTCTAATTAACAGCTAAAATTACCATAACTGAAAAACATGAGACAAAAAGTATCTTTCCAGTTTGTTTACATTGTGCATTCGACAGCACTCTGTATGATAAATCAGTCAATTCCATCATTTGTGTGTGGGTCTTTCACAGAACAGTGGAGAGAAAAACATGTTAAAGAATAGTAAAATGTAACTGGAAAACAAAACAAACAAAACCTAACATCAGGAGCCTCAGGGCAGAAGCAATACCTGAATTACTTTAAATTCTCTTGAAAAAGGCTAGATTTCAAATTAATATAGCAAACGAATTACCTGATTATATTAGATGACTTTGCTATGAATTTATTAGCACGAGAGTAACTAAAATTAGGTTCTAAATCCATATTTAGGCACCTAAACGAAAGTGAGCTGATTGTCACATGTGCTGGGCACTTATGGATAACCCCACATTAGTTACAATAGTATTTGTGGGTACTCAACACCTCTGGAAATAAGGCCACTTGTATTTAGGTGCCTAAATATAAGCATATTGGATCAGATAATGGTCAATCTAGACCTGACCCCTCTTATAGCGGCCAGCACCCGATGCTTCAAAGAAGGTGCAAGAAACCCTGACAAGAGCAATTATTGATTAAAGAATATCCTGCCCATTGGAGAAGTTTCTTTCTACAACCATTGGTTAGAGAATGGTGCTCTGAAGAGTTAATGTCCCTACCAAACACTACACTTAAAAAAAACCCACACTCATATAGGGGAGGATGGTCTCATTATCACTAGAAATATCCTATTACTTTTTTCAACACCCTGGAGAAATGTCCAATCCTGCAACTTATTTCAAAGAGTCTGCTAGGCTAATAAATGCACCAAATAAAAAAAACCCCTTTTCCTTTTATCAGTTTTTAGATTTGTTACCATTCAATGTCATGGAATGTTTATTATATTTAGACCACCCAGTGTTGACACATGCAGCTACTAACAATAAAAACTGTGTTTTTTATAATTTGTGTCAGAAAAAAACAGATGTGTGCGTGAGAGAAAACTACACATCCATCCAAACATCAGAGATACCTTCAGCTGTACGAGTTTCGCCGCATTACCCTCACTACATTGTGACAAATTTGAATTGGAAAAAAAAAAATCAGTCTGGGAATGGGGAGGGCGGGGGAAAGGACAGAGACTCGGGCCCCTCAAGCCCGGGAACAGGGAGAAGCGCAGATGGAAAGACAGAGACGGGGCCACCCACAGTTCCAGGGCGGAACAAGGCCCCCAGACCTCTTTCGGTCTCGGTGGCTTTTCTACAGGGGCTTTTCTCTAAAGAAAAAAGAACAGAAGTACGTGTGGCACCTTAAAAACTAACAATAAAGAGCCTCCCAGCGCGGGCCCCAGACTCCTGACCAGAACACCGCAGCAGCCCTGACCTCCGAGCTAGAGACTCGACCACCCGCCGCGAAGACCTCCCGAGATAGACTACACGGATCGTGGGCGGACACGCAACGGGTTCACATACCGCACGTGTCCAACCAGGAAACGTAGCGACTCCTTCCTCACATACACGCTTTTTTCTGGATACGTCTCTATTCAGCTCCCCCACCCCGCTTCCGGGACACACTAGAAAACAAGGTTCCTAGTGCCTATAGCCCCTACCACTTCAGTCAAAGCCCCATTCGCATACGGCAGCCGCCAACGGCTCACTGTTCCTGGCCGGCCGGGTATAGTAGGTACACATCTCTGGCTCGCGCAGATTGTGTTCGGGCTCACCCACAGAGACCAGAACGCGGGGGTATCACTCAGGGCAGCGCCCGGAAAAAACAACAAACAAACAAAAGCCGGGGCTCGTCGCCCTGAGGCTCGGAGTTAGAGTCAAGTCGGGCGTGTGACTGGAGCCCTGGCCGGCTGTGTGTGTGTGGCCTGGGAAAGGTGCCGTGGGCTGGCCCGGTAGTATCGCCCGCAGCGTAGCGGGCGTTCGTTTGGGCGGGCGGTTCGAAGCGCCGGCTCCAGAGCGGAGGCCGCGCGGGTTCCGAGCTTACCGCGGCCTCAGGGGACGGGGTAGCAGGTGAGGCTGGGCTTGGCCCCCTGTGGTATTGTCATTACGCTCCTTGCCGGTAGGAGCCGCGTCGTCCCCGCTGTCCTCCCACGGAGGCTGGCATGGGGGGAAGGTTTGTTGAATTGGGGCTGCGGAGGCGCATTTGTAGCGAAAGAGGCGCTGGGGCGGCAGCAATTAGGAGTCTGGAGCTCAAGCAATTTTTTTTTATATGCAGCAAGCCCAGAGGTGCTGGGGCTATGAACGGCCGAGCCCAGAGGTGCTGGGGCTATGAACGGCCGAGCCCAGAGGTGCTGGGGGCTCTGCCCAGGCCAGTCCTGACACAAATTAACCACTGGATAACAGGGTATTTAATAGTCGGATCCTCCCTCACACAATGAGAAATCTTACAGTTGGGGAGGGCGTGCCTCCTCCCTCCTGGTCATATAGGGTTCCTGGTGCCTGAGGGGGAAGCAGAGTCTGATCAGCAAGGGACAGACCTGAACCCTTCTCTGTCCCACTATCAGGAGCCAAGCACAGTGGTCTGGAGAAGAGTCTGTTGCTGGAGGGAGCTGGCTCTGTTTCTTCTCTTTAGACACCGGTCTGTCCCCCTGAAAAGAAGCAACCCACGCAAAATGTCTGGGATTTCCCTGAGACTCTGGGACCTGTAGCCTCCCCACCCCCAGCCATTTGTGGTTTTGGCTCCCAAGGCTGGGAGCTAGGCACTTATATATTTTCTTTTGGGTTTATAAGATAAGAGACTCCTACCATTGGTGATCTGTGCATATCTGATAGTTATCTGAATATATAATAGATTAATATGGAATATGACCAGCCCTGGCCTGTCTGGGTGCTGTGTATTCTAGGAGCAATGTTTTTAGACTTAAACATTACAAATCATTTAGAGTAAAACACTTGAAAATCAATGATCCTATTTCCTGCAAAATTTTGAGTGGTAAGTCATTCTGTGATCACACCTCTTGAAATCGTGCAGGGAGGACAGTGTAGGTGTTGGAGAGCAAACACTCAACTTCAGGAATTTGTATCAGATGGTACATGAAAGACAAATATTTAGACTTAATAAACATACATGCTGATAATGATTTGGAAACTTGGGCATTTAAAAACTAATTGTGGTTACTTTTCTTAGAATAAACATGTACATTGTGTTTTATTCTCATTTTGAGTCTTTTGTTTTAAAGAGACGTGATCGCATAGTCTCAAAAGTGCATACTTATATCTGAAATACATTGTGTGCTGTACACTGATAAAGAAAATCTTTGTCGTTTAAACATAAGCAGAGAACATACACATCTGTTTCTGGAAAATGTAAACATTAAACTGTTTTGTTGTATTTTCAAGCATGATGTGCCCAGTTTATTTCTGGTGTGTAACTACATTAACATCAGAATTAATTCACCTACTGTGTGTGTTACTTCTGGTGACCTTGCAGCCCACATGAGAAGCAAACACAGGTTGGCAGGCAACAGAAATGTTTTGGTTTAGAGAGTGTTGTGCTGTATATAGGAAACAAACTGTTGGTAAACAGCGCTATTGATATGGATTCAGTACAAACAGGAACATATGTAAACAACAAAGGACTAGGTTTGAAAGAACGCAATTGAGATAAAACAATTAAAAATTCCAATAAGAATAAAATTCACAATTTTCATCCATATTGAGTTTTGTAATCTCTACAACCATCTTTCAAATGTATAAATCCTGAATTTGGTGTGTAAGAAGCTGACAAAATCTTTAGTTTTCCAGAAACTGAAATTGCTTTTGTATGTGGACACTTCCATTGTATCTTTGTTGCCAACTGCTGATTTGATGGACAAGCTATCATAAGAGTCAAACACTGAAGTAGTTTCTTCAGTTCAGAGACTACTTAGAGCTGTGAACTGTTGAAATCTCAACATGGTTGCCATATTTTATTTAGGTCTCCTATCAGGGCCTACTGCTGATTGAAATATTTTGCCATAGTATAGCAATTTACTGTGCTTAACCCCTCCTCCCCCCCCTTCTGGGTGAAACCTTGGATCTGTTGAAGTCAATCACAAAACTTCAGTTGACTTCAGCAGACCCAGGATTACACCCCTGGACTTGGAAACTACCATGAAATCTGTGTATTTAAATAAGACCCCTATTAAATTCAGTGGAAATTAAAAGGGTCATAGGGAATTACCAATTATTTCCCACAGGGTTGTGTATTTGTTGCATTAGGTTTTATTATCCCCTTTCATGAAAAATTCTGTATGTGGAAAGAAAACACAAAGTTAGAACCCTCATCAGGTTGTTGTCTCCTCCACTCCCTTGTTACTCTGTGTTAGCCCAACTCATAGGGTGGCATAGGAGTTGGAAGCTGTTGTATGTGAATTTATGATGCTTTCAGCAGGATTAACTACCATCTGGTTTTTTTGCTTATAAAACAAACACCTAATGACAGCATGCAGCCTAGAAGGAGCAGACATTATGCTTTGATGTGTCCTTAATTGTAGAATGTTCCAAACCCCAATCTTAGAGTGATTCTAAGAGGGGTTTCTGTGGAGTCTTAGAGGAATCAGTTTGTTCCCATTTCTGATAGAAGGATAGATATTCCACTTCAGTATGGGCCTGATCCTGTGCCTGTTGAAGTCACTGGCAAAACTCCCACTGATTTCAGTTGTGCAAGACTCAAGCCATTTGCTTTCCTCTAAACCTCATAGTAGAGGGGACTGTATGGCTCAGTGTCTACAATTCCTTTGATTTTAATATTATTCTGTAGCTAGTTTACCATTAAAGTTTGCCAAATATGTATTTCTTAGTCAAAAACACTTGTATCTAAAATATTTAGATTTCAGAATTGGTAAGCTGTGTGAGCTGAATCATGTAATTTTTAAAAAGGGAAGACAGAAACTTTAATATTGTGCTATATATTTTCATAGTTTTTGAATCAATAAATAGGATCAAACATTAATAGTGTTAAAATGAATATACTTATTTACAAAATTTTATTCCATTTTAGTAACATTGAATCTGAGAAATGGAGAGTGACATTCTTCAAGTTTATGAAGATGAAATTCATTCTTTGGAAGAAGAAATTGAACTGTTAACTCAAAAGTTTGAAAGCAAACAAGAATCTACATTTTATTCTGATGAAGAGATACAAATATCAATGTATGCATTTTATATGTTCAGCTTAATCTTGGTTTATGAATGGATGTTCAGCATTGTTCTTTAGGTTTAAATGTCCACTCCCATTAATGTTGTTTCATAAAGTAAACATTTTAGCAATAAAAGAATCAGAAGTATTGAGAAACGCACTTGGTATTTTAGAGGTGGCTAAAGTGTAGCCTTCAGAAGTTTACAATGTGACCTGTGGCTGCCTTCTTTAATACGAGGTACAACCTGTGGAGGTCACAGATTCTATCATGCACTGCTCTGTTGCCTTCTCTCTGTTGCATGCTTCACCTCTACATTAAAAATGAGGATAGCAGTGATTTGCTATATCAAATTTGGTGTGGCTTTCGGGATCCTGACAAGTTGCTAATTCTCTGACTCTGATTTAAATCTATAATTACAAAGTAAAATATATCTTCTTGAAGCAAAAGGGGTTGTTTTGATTATCATAACTGGAAAAATGCAGATAAGCTGCCAAAACTCATTTTACTGAATGCTCCAGTGGCAAGGTGAGTACTTTCCATAACCACTAGCCTGTTGGTATATGGCAGGGAACATAAAGTATTTACATGGAATAGAACTTATATGAGTAGTGCCACTGAATTCAAAGTATAACTGAAATCATAATAAATTTCTGAACCACCTTCACATGTCTACATGTTAGAGCAACTCTTTTTAAAAGCTTTCTCTGTGCCCTGGTGATTGCTAATGGATCTTTTCAATTCTAGAAAATCACTCCAAGGAGAAGCTAAACAACATGAATCCCCACCAGATCTGAAAGCTGAACTTGATTGTTTAGAATCTGACCTCTCTTTTTTAATGAAATTTACTGGCATTTGGTTCACAAATTACTCCAAGGAAACAGTGGAAAAAAGTAAGCATTTGTGTGCCTATTAGTAACATTATTGCAAGCATTTTGTCACAGTTTGTTTGCAGTTGCAGATTATAGTTCAGCATTCAACATTTGCAGAAAAGCTTGTGCTCTGAAATGATAAAACACTAGCACAGTAATTGCTGGTAAATGGAATTCTGTGATGTTATACATACTGCCAAATGATTCTTGGTTTTACACTCAATGGCATTACAAGGTTATAACAGAAGACAGAATGTTGCCTGTGTATATATATATATATATGGCTGGAGATACACTGAAGATCTAATTTGAACTTCTAATCAGTTTGGTAGGAAAGTTTTTCACTTACATGGTTAATTGCACGATTTATATTGTGTATAACATACATTGCCCACTCTTCAAATTTATAGCTTAATATTATTTTTGTTAATGGGGAGACAGAATAATTATTGAACGTGATCAGAAATCTAAAATATTTTAACCTACTTTCATTATAGCTGGAAACAAAACTATACAGAAACACAGATTATCAGGAAATTGCTATTCACTGCCTTTTCAGATGGAATTTCAACTTCTAGAAATACAGGTAATGACGAGATATTTCTATTGGGGGAAAAAGTACACATCCATAACTATTTGGATTTGTCATGATAGAAGAAAAACTGAACTTTTGGAATAGTTACTGTCACAGTCCTGGCTGAGTCCCCCTGGTGGACAGCCACTGGTCTGTTATAATTGGGTCCACCTTTGACTCCTATATGCATCAAATCCAGCTGGATCTGCAGAGTCTAGTCACTGCTTCCATTTGAAGGTCTCCTAAGACATTCTCCTGGTTAGGCCTCTTGTCTGGCACCCTTACTGGGATGAGAGTCTCTGCAGTCCAACTGTGATAGGACCCAAAATTAATGTTGAGACCTTCCTAACTTCTTCAGCCACTTTGCACATTCTTCCAGAGTTCCAGCTAGCTATGGTTGCTCTGATTTACAGTTTCTTTGTCAGGGACCACATGGTTGTTCAAGCAAAGAAAACAGGCTCTGCAAAGAAACTACTTAAAAAAATACACATTTTACTATTAGTGCTCTGCCTGTCCAGGGACATTCAGATTTAAACTGGATTAAGTTACAGCAAACTAATTCCACTTTACTCCTGAATGAAACCATCAACAGGGGTGTGTGTGCATGTGTGGTAGTGGTGGATACGTTTATTTTATGCACATTGATTTCATACCTTTTAGCTGATTTGCCTTAATTTTCCTGAGTGTCCTCATGTGGACATGCCCTTAGCATAAAAGAGTTACAGATCTATGCAAAACAATAGATGCCTGAATGCAATCCTCCCCTTAGAGTCCTTACCACTCCTGAGAGTCCTTGAGTTTGATTAGTGTTGTTGGAGGTAGACAAAGCCTCTCCTGCCTCCACTCCTCCAGTTGTGATGTCTGTTTGTATTGATGGGATGATTTGCTTGCTTGGAGAGCGTTTTAAAAGCAGTCTCTGACACCATTTCTGTTTCTGTCCTCCTGCTGAGAATATTCCTTGCTCCAACCTTCCTGTTGGCTGCTGGGCAGAGTATTGTTAAAAGTCAGTGATTCTACTGAAAGCAACCCAATTGCTCTACCAGAGTGGAGCTACTTAGGGATAGTCCACACTGATAACGTTAAAGCGCTGCCTTCTGTGGTCGCGGCGCCACGAGGGGCATAGCTACCAGCGCTGGGAACATGGCTCCCAGTGGTGGTGCATTGTCTACATTGGCGCTTTACAGTACTGCAACTTGCTGTGCTCGGGGTGTTTTTTTTAATGTTGATAGTCCCTTGATGGCCCTATATCAGCTTCCCAGACATAATCCGTTCCTGCTACAAAATGGAAGTTGTAATGAACACCAAAGATGACAATAAATGTTATTAATGAAAAATTAATTTGACAGACAATTAGAATGTCATAGATCGATCTTACATATACTGATCGCTATATGTGGGGTCGGGAAGGAATTTTCCTCTTGGTCAAATTGGCAGTGATCTTGTGATTTTTTTTTTTCTTCTTCCTCTGCAGCCTGGAGTGCAAGTTAATTGCCAGGATTATGTGAGTATATCTCACTTAATCAATTTGCTGCCACTGCAGGGGCCTCGGACATTGATGCACTTTCTATTCTCTACTTGTGGCATGTAATAGTTTAGTCTCCTGTGGGCTGTAATAATTGATTCTAATTTTGGTTGTTGGGTTTAGTATGCAGGTGCTGGGTTGTGTTATGGCTTGTGATAAATCGGATATCAACTAGATGATATCTAGAAGAAGGTGGTTCTTTCTCAGATTACATTTCTGACTCTACATTTATTTTCCAAATTTTTGGCATATTATATCTTGGTCTGTTACTGTCTTAAACAGGGAATATAAGTGCCATTAATATTAATCAGAAATAAGCACATGCTTCTAGAAAAAAAGAACATATTGTCCTCTTTAGGGAATTATACTGTTTTAATACATTGTTTTTATTACACAAAACTTAGTGTGTTGTTTTCTGTAAGCATCAGTTATTAGACATGGGGTAATTGTTTTCAAGTTTTTTTTTCTGTTGTACTTTTGCTGATGCTCCAATGTCTTCATTTTTTGCTGAGGATATACTTACCCTCAGATATTGTTATTCAGTAAACATACTTATGAATATGTAAAAGAAAAATGGTTTAAGTCTACTTGAAGAGAGACACAAATTAGTTTTGAAAGATTTGGTCAAAAATAACTACAAGGAATTGAGTTTTGACAACTTGGAAGAAAAAATGTAAGTTTTTATTAGGTAGAACAGAAAAAACTAGCCACTCAGATGTATCTGTGAGGTGAAGAGTGATTAACATGCCAGAATGAGGTTGGGAGGAAATGGTTTCTTACAAAGTCCTTCAGATGTATACTTACATGAAGTAGTATCATATACTCAGTCTATTTGATGCATTTGTGAAACCAACATGGTATATTCAAATTCTGCAGAGCCAAAGCTTTCATTTAAAAAATATAAGTAAGTGTTTAGCTTTCATAGTAACTTTCCAAGTGCTGAGTGAGTGTAACTGATACACACTGGTGGTGTCCTCAGTTTGCAGACAGTGTGAAACTATGATGCTTTGAGTCAAGATCTTCCTTGCCCCCATTAATTTCATTAGAATATTACTTCACACACTTAGTAATGTTTTACATGTCATCATTAACTGTTTAACTGCTGTTCATTCTATCAGCTGTGATAGGGAAGTGGTGGGTGAGAATGAAGCACACGGAGGAATTTAGAGTTGTTGCATGAAAAGAAAGAGTGAAGATAGAGAGAAACAGGGAAAGGAGGATAGGAAAAGGAAAGATATACAAGACAGAAATAGCTGTGGTCCTGAGCTGAAAATATTTTCCCACTGAACAATGGTGAATACAGTTTAACAAAGAATAATATCTGAAAGTTGAATTGCCATGTAAAGGCCGTATTCTACTTTTGATCTTTGATCAATCATTCCATTGATATCAGTGGATTGTGGATTTAGGGTAGAGTGTAAGCCCAAATTTATGAAGCAGTATATGGACTGTAGTAGTGCCCAACCCCAAGAGTTCATAAATGAGTCAGGACCTCCAAAATCATGATTAAAAAAAAAATTGGGTTCTCTTTATTTGTCTTCTTGTTTTTTAATCTTTAGAGTGAACTTGGGTTATGTTTTTAAGCTTTTCCCCTTAGCCATAACGTTTGTAAGCTTAACTTTTTTTAAAAGAAAGCAGAGATTTTCATTTAACCCCAGGAGTCCAAGAGTTGGACTTCTAAGAAAAACACGGAATATCATCGAGGAGTCCTTGTGGCACCTTAGAGACTAAGAAATTTATTTGGGCATAAGCTTTCATGGGCTAGAACCCACTTCATCAGATAGCTTATGTTTTTGCTGATACAGACTAACACGGCTACCACTCTGAAATGAAATATCATGAGACTCATGACAAAATCACAAAAATTGGCAGCACTGGTTTAACTACATGTGGAATTTGGCCCTCTCCAAAAATGGGTATGACTCGTTGCCTTAATGGGTAGAAAAGTCTCATAATATATAAAATCTTAAGGTAAATGTAAGAAAAATGTGAACATGTTTTAGTAACACAAGAACCCTACATATTAACGAGACATTACTAATCAGCGTCCATTATAAAGCCTTATATTAGTCTCCTAAAGCTATGGCTCGGCTTGAGCATTGCCTTGTTTACCCTAAAAACAAAGGAGAATGTTTCTGCAGAATTTAAGAAAGTGAATCTAATTGTTCTTGAGCTGCAGATAATTAAAATATTCTGATTAGAAATTGTTTACTTTTCTAACATTTTCCTCTTAGTTCAAAAACAGTTTGGTTCTCCCCCTTCAGACTTCTGATATAAGCAAATCTTGAGCCATAATTGTGACCCTAAGCCTGCAAGCACCAAAGCTCATATGTAACTTTACTCACAATTGTAGACCCATTGACTTAAATTTAGGACTGAATCCTACAAAACTATACTCAGCTGAGCAGTCATCATTTGTGCAAAAAGATTCACTGAAGTCAAAGGGACTACTTACTCACCTTAGTTTGTTTTTACAGAATCATGACCTCATTTAATGCATTGTGAACTTAACATATTGAAGTGAAGATGCAGAATTTCATGTTAATATTCTAATAAACAAAATTTCAGGTTAATATTCTAATAAACAAAAATTCATGTTGGTTATGCACTTTACATCTATGCCGTTAGATGGCAGTATTTCACTATTTACTGGCTGATTATTGAATTTAAATGACATTTTTTTAAGCAGAGAAATTGTTATTTTTATGTGAATTTGTTTTGTTGATTGGTTATTTCCTGGGGGAAAAAACACACAAAAACCTGTGTCAAAATTATAATTTAAAATGCTAGCAGAGAGAGATTAATTTTCTGGCTTTGTTTTCCCCTCCCTTTTGCATTATACGTTTTAAGTTTCTGATATTTCATGCCTTTAAAAATATGGAGCTATATAAGCATCCGCTAGCATAGAGCAAATTACACATACAGACTCTAATGTGTATAGCACATATCTACTTGTATAGTCGTTAAATACAACACAAATGTATGGTCTTGTAATATGATAGAGATTTTACATACACAAGTCAGGAAATTTAAAGCTGTGTTTTCCATAGCAATTATAATTCAGCTTCCTTGCATGCACTGTATTACTATGTGTGGTGTTACATTTGAAGATTTTATTTATAATGTGACTGGATTACATTCACTGTGAGAATGATATCTATGAATTATTTAGTTACAGTAGTAAAATGTCAACACAACATTTAATGAACACACATTTTGCTTTTCATTTCTATTTTTTAAAGAAATGGACAATGCAGCATGCTTACTATGACATTCAGATTTTTGTATGTGACTAATGTGTGTACTAACTTTTTTCCAAAAGTGTAGTTCAGAATTTTGTATGTAACGGGGAATTGGAAAAAATCTCCCCCCCACCCCCGTAACTAAAGAAAATATTCTATTGTGTTTTTGGTATGTTGGAGGTTCTATGAAAATATTTCTCACACTGCTATTTGGCTACCTCAGCAGCATAAAAGAGAGGCTATGTGTGAATTTTTTTGTGCAAAACAACATTTGTTTAAACAAGGAATTGTTTGGGTTTTTCAAAATAAAGGTGAAATAATGGTAATCTTGCGATTAAGGCACAAGATTGGAAGTTATGAGATGGGGATAATCCTGGTTTTGACACAGACTTCCTGTGTAATGTTATCCAAGACACTTAGGTCTCCAGCCTGCAATGAAAACACTGAAGTCAATGGGGGTCTGCATGGATGGAGGGGTCTGCCCATATTTCTCAATGCAGGATTAGGTCTTCAGTCCACAATTTTAAAACTTGGAAATTTTGCCATAACTTCTGTTCCTTAGGCTCTCCACCTGTAAAATTAGGATGATAAATGTTTCACTTCTTGGGACATTGATGTTGGGGAACAGATTTACTAATATGTGTAAAGTATTCTGAGACCCTTAGAATAAAAATATAGCTCTAATCCCCTTGCTACTATTCCCCCCTAAACCCTTTTTCAAGGAATGCCCAATTAGAAACAAATAGACCAGAACTGGATGAAAGATAAGTTAGGATTATTTTTCTTCCACCTGTTTTGGGATATATAAAATGGCCACAGCATAGATTTCATCTGATTCCTTTCATCTTGCAACTTAATGAGTTAAATTCTTTTGTTTCCCCAGGTTCTTGATAGAAATCTGAAAGTTTTACCACAGCAAAGGATTTTTACTTCTGTCTCTAGATTTAAAAAAAAAAAAAGGCCTGTACTGGTGCTAAAAGCCATTAACAATGAAAGATGGAGTCCCAAGTACCGAAGCAGAGATCCTTTATAGAAAGATGAAGTTTGACATAAAAATACCATGAGATTCTGCCGTATTGTACTTAAACTCTCTCCAAGTACATATGCAATTTTAGCTTTATACTAACTTTAAACTCTACCACGTCAAATCTCAAGAACATTGAGGGAGTGGTCAATTAATTAAAAATTGCCTTTTTCCAGAGGACTTTTTTTTCCCTTTAAACCTTTTTCAGTGGACCACAAGATGGCGTCTGGGTATAAAATGGTAGTGTCAGTTTCCTGGGATGCCAGTTTTCTATAAAGATACAATTGCTTACATCCAGTAACTGTGCTAGCAGCTTGTTTGCAGCTCTGTGCCCAGATCTGAGACTTCTGCTATATGTTTTAATTGATTTTCTTTCCTTATGGTGCTTATTCAACTTCCTGAATTTTATAAAGTATCTTGGCAAGGCTCCTCCAACTCTAGTCATGGCAACATTGGCAATGTCCCTGTCCAAGCAATGCTACAGAACGTCATGATATGTTTTCACTTGACTCCAGCATTCCCATTAAATTTGTTTTCTCTACCTTACCTTCCCATGAGTTCATACTAGCTGGAATAGGAAAAACAGTGTTGTATGCCCCAATGCAATGAGAAGTATTAATGCTGCCTGTTTCATGATGTCTTTCCAAGTGATGTGTTCTAACTTCTAATCTTTCCACTGTCCTTTCCCAAGCTAACTGCTCAGGAATGTTTTAAAACATATAATACAAAGAATTATATTTTTTCTATTTGAACCTACTTTCTCACTGTCTCTGTTGCAATCCTAAAGTTGCATACGTTGTTTCAGATTTTAATTTGGAATACACATTAATCACACTTATTTCTGCAGATATATTTGTATACACATATTCTTGTGAAGTAAAATGAAATTAAGGCAAAATGGATGTCATAAAATATAAAACAAATTCAAGAAATAAAACACAAGGAGAACTATAGAGCAAACAAATGATTTTCTTATTCCTCTCTTTAGCTCACATTACATTATTTTATTTATTGAGTGGTTGGATGACAAAGTTTTGTTTGTTACACCAGGAGTTCTCAACCTTTTTCTTTCTGAGCCCCCCCCCAGCATGCTATAAAAACTGCATGGCCTATCTGTGCTACAATAACTGGTTTTCTGCATATAAAAGCCAGGGCCAGCATTAGGGGGTAGCAAGCAGGGGAGTTGCCTGGGGCCCTATACCACAGGGACCCCTGCAAAGCTACATTGTTCAGACTTCGGCTTCAGCCCCAGGTGGTGGGGCTCAGTGCCCCGGGTGGCAGGGCTTTGGGTTTCTGCCATGTGTTATGCTTAAAAGAAGCACACGGGATCTTTTTCAGGGGAAAAGGCAATACGCCGCATTTATTGAAGATACAATAATTAGCATATGCATTCAATCACGCTCCACACACACACTGTCCCGCCAGTCGATGTTATAGTTACTAGTCCAGAGTCCGGATCAATCTAGTGGCCAGCTAGGTTGATCATGGGTAGGGAGGAGTCAGGTTCCATCAGTCACGACACGATGCTCCAGGGAAGTCTTGGCAGGACGAACCTGAAGTTTCATGGCAAGGCACCCTGCTTATATAGTGATTTACCTTCATTGGCTTCCAATGTGTTTTGCACTGTCATGCTTTAATCAATTGTTGTTTGACGAGTGCTTGTTTTCTTAAATTGTCCTTCTCATTCTTTATCACAGCTATCCTGTCCCCATTGATAGGTGCCTGTCTTATTTTTAGAGTCGTCAATCTGCCCTCTCTGACATATCAATAGGGGCGTGTTACAGCCTCCTGGCGCCCTTGTGTCTGTCTCCAGTTCCTCCCTCGTACATCTAGTTCAGCAATAGCCTTCACATGTATCTCTTAACACATATATTCCTCATGCACACACAAAACAGAACTAATTTACACAGAACATTTTAAACAGGAACATCAAGTTGCAATGCGCAAGAAAACAATCATGGCATTCTTTTACTTATTTTAAAATGCTAGCCCTACAACAAAGTAGTGACCTTAAAACCATCTGTTACTGCCTTGAAATCAGCCCAGACACAGATTCCGGCTAATGCATCTTTACCAAATGGCCCATTAGGTCATTCCTTTCTGCTATTCAAAAAGGGTGGCTGGCAGGATATAATCAAATCATACACCAATACATTTAGTACATGCTACATTATTATATCATTATTCTTTATCCTTCATTCTAAATCATACAAAATACAAACATAAAATCCTACTACTAGACATGGACCCCAGCAAGTTTAAAGCTGGCCCTGCTTGGGGGACCCCCTGAAACCTGCTCGTGGACCCCTAGGGGTCCGTGGACCCCTGGCTGAAAACCAATGTGTTACACAATGGTGGGGTTCTGTTTGTTTATTTGTTAATAATACTTGTTGAAGTCATGCTGGGGGATGAAGAGAATGGGACAATAATAGATTAAACAGAAAGCAACGCCATGTTATGAAGCATACAAGCACCATCATCTTGTACTTCTTAAAAATTGCCATTTCTCTTCAAGGGAGCATAGGCATTATTCCAATAGGTTGTTACCTTTGTACTATTTGTGTGTCATCAAAGATTTTTCATATAGGTAGACCTCACTTTAAAATCTGTGTTTAAGAACTCCTGTAACTAGCAAGTTTATGTATCGGGGGTAGCTGTGTTAGTCTGTATCTACAAAAACAACAAGGAGTCTGGTGGCACCTTAAAGACTAACAGATTTATTTGGGCATAAGCTTTCGTGAGTTAAAACCTCACTTCTTCGGATGCATAGAGTCCGGATCCGGACTCTATGCATCCGAAGAAGTGAGGTTTTAACT